GAATGACAATACGATACGATTGTAAAATCCACAAAGATAGTTGACTTTTATATTTGCAGTATGCCTTTAGAATCTTTTGCAAAGAAATTTAATTACAAATAAAAAAACTTGAGTTCACCGCTCATATGATAACTAACAAAGTTAATGCTTGAATTTTATCCTTTAACAAGCAGACATGGTTGACAAGGTTCAAAAAATAAAATAAAATAATTCAAATACCCAAATGATACCATGTTAAAGGCAAATATTAATAAGACGGGACTACATCTTTAAAAATATCCCCAAATCCTAATATATATTATTTTAGGAGCAACAATGTAGACAGAAATATGAAAAAAAATCATAACATTCAAAATATTTCAAGTAAAATCTACCGCCAATAAATTTAAAGCAATAACCATTCCACAATAGTTTATCGAGGGTGACATTCAATGATAACCTCATCTCACAAGAGCCATAATACAACATATCGTTATAATTCATTCTCAAATGATCTCTCATCAATAAAGACGTAGTAAGTGTTCTCTAACCGATGGTTTTGACTCCAAATGATACCAACTCTCTGATGGGTTACTTCGCCACAAAATAACATCATTAAATTACGATAACGACTAGAGCCTACAAGTTCCCCAATGGTTAAAATTCGTCAAATGATGAATCATACGGTGCACTTGATAAGACATAAAGCCATTCATTAGCTAAGATCAACTAAGATTTGTCCTCTTAAATAAACATTCACTCTAAATCTATAATATTTCTTTGGACGAAGCTACTGACAAGGATCCTTTGTTCAGGTTAGATCAACTTCCTCCTCTAAGTAGAATAAAGTCTATGATAATCCAAGACAATTTAATCATGAGATCTTGATCAGATTTATAAATACTTCCCCGAAAATCCGCTCCTAGTTGAAGGTGATAAATTTGTTAATCTTAAATCAAATTGCTTCTACTATATGCTAAGCATTTAGCTTCAAACGGCTAACCTTAATTAAAGGTTCTGTATCGTTACCATGAGAGCTAATTAATTAAAGAGGCTTCTATGACACCCACCAAAAAAAAAAATCTTAAAAGTACGATAAATTTTTGTCAAAAAAAAAATTAATCCCACTATTCACACATCCCGAAATTTGTCAAAATCATTTTTATTTCATTTATAAATCATTTCAATTTATGCGCAAAATCATTTTTCCTAAGTTTTTAATTTGATAGCACTGTAGCTGCAACTAGCCACTACAGTAATTTTGGTTTTTCCAAGCGGTTGAGAGCTATGACAAAGCAATTCATACAACAATAATAACAACATCAAGCCTTCATCCCACTATTATGTGGGATCGGTGAAATTCATAGTCAATTAAAATTAGTTAATATACAAATATGTATATGCATAATTATACCTTAAAATCCTTAATCAAATTCTCCTACCTCACAAGCCGGCTTGGGAGTCACGGACAACAGCCTGTGAGTTGGAGAAGGAGGAAATGCTAGCTGAATAGGAACTGGGTTCTGTATTTGGAGGAGAATAATAAGGAAAACAGAAAAGAAGCTAGAAGAAGTAGAAAAAGAAGGAAGAAAAGGAAAAGCTAAGGTAAGGAATCCCAAATCAAATTCAATTTGTATCCTAGGAATTAAAAGATTTGGTGAGAAGAAGGCATTTCGAGGTAAATACTAATTATTTTGAGTTAAAAATTGATTTTGAAATGTTATAAGTAAATGAACTCATTATCATCAGGTTGTTTACAATAGGTCGAAGCTATGGAGAAAGAAAATAAATGAGTCCATCGTGAGGAAAATATGATTTATCCAGTGAGATATTCAATTCTAATATAAGGATCAAACTATGCGTAAGTTCAATATCTGCATATGTTTATGATTTTTTGTACACGTCTTTCTTCATGATAAATATGTTAAGACATCCGCAAGCATCAAACAGCAAAAATGCATATCATGCATAATACATACTTATTATTTCAGATAATTCTCATTGAAATCAAGCATAAAGATTATTCCACCATATACGTGGCATAAATGGTCATTTTCACAATCACTTTATATGTATCATACAACAACAACAACAAGCTTTTATCCCACCGTGGGATCGGCTATATGAATCATTTTTCTCCATTTTGTATCTAAATCTAATAAAGAAAGGTCATTTCTAATATTTTCTAACCAAGTCTTTTTAGGTCTATCTCCACCTTTCTTAACATAAATATAATCTAATACATCTACTATCTTAACCGGGTCTCATCGGAAGGCCGTTGTTTTATATGACATAATCATCTAAGGCGATTCTCTCTAATCTTTTCTTCCACTGGAGCTACTCCAACTTTTTCATGTATATGCTTATTTAGTATCCTATCTCTAAGAGTAAAGCCACTCATCCACCTGAGCATTCTCATCTCCGCAACACTTAATATTATGCTTAGCTTTTAGTGGCCAACATTCAGCACCATAAAACATTGCAGGTCTCAGTACAATCTTATAGAATTTTTTCCTTAAGTTTGAGAGGTATTTTTCTATCACATAGCAAGCCTGATGCATTCCTTCTCGTCAACCATCCAACTTGAATTCTACTAATAATATCACTATCTATTTCACCATCACTTTGAACAATAGACCCAAGAGATATAAAATGTGTACTCTTATTAATTAATTGATCGCCAAAAGTCACACTCCCCGCTAGATGTATTATTACTAAAATTACACTCCATATATTCAGTTTTTTATCTACATAAACGAAAGCCTTTAGACTCTAAGGTTGACCACCATAATTCAAGTTTACCTTCAACTCCCTTTCTACTCTTATAAAAAAGAAGAACATCATCAACAAAAAGCATACACGAGGGTACAACCTCATGCAAATGTCTAGTGAGAACATCCATGAATAAATAAAAAAAAAAAGATATGGGCTTAAGGTTGATCCTTGATATAATTCAACTGAAATAGGAGAATACTTGGTCAAACCATCTTGTGTTTGAACACAAGTAATAGCTCATGCATACATATTCTTAAGGACTTGTATATAAGCATTATTAACCTCTTTCTTATGTAGAACTCGCCAAAGCACTTCTCTTGAAACTTTATCATATCTCTCAATTCCTCCTCTTGCCAATGCTCGAACCCGCGACCAGCTGATTGTGGATTAAACTTTCCACCAACTGGTCGCATTAAGTTTGGCAACTTTATCATATGCTTTCTCTAAATCAATAAAAATCATATGTAGATCCTCATTATTCTCTTTATACTTCTCCATCAAACCTCTCAATAAATATATAGCTTCAATAGTAGACCTACCTAGCATAAATCCAAATTGATTTTGAGAAACATTAGTGTCACGCCGTAACCTATGATCCATAACTCTCTCACATACTTTTAAAGTATGCACATTAACTCAATTCCTCTATAATTCACACAATCTTGTGCATCAACTTTATTCTTAAAAATACGAATTAACACACTCATTATCCACTAATCTGACATCTTTTTAATCTTCAAAATAATATTAAAAAGTTTAGTAAGCCAAGAAATTTTTTCATCTCCTAAGCATTTCCACGCCTCTATTATAATCACTTTATATCTATCATGTTATAAAAAATGAACTCAATCATGAAATAATGGATGAGTGTATAAATGCTAAAAAGAATAAAAGAAAATACTGATGATGAAATTCAAAGGATCCTTGAAAAGTCATATCAAGAGTTTACTCTGTTAAACTGTACAGGATAGGATGATGTTTGATATAGAGAAGTTAGAACGAATCAGCCCTTAATAGAAAAATGAAAAAAGGAATTCATGACTCCTAATATTGAGAGTTTTAAATGGGTCAAACCTTTATTAGGAAAATAAATAGGAATTTCTGACCCTTATTACTGTGAGTTGGAACCGGCCAACCCGTATCAAGGGGATGATACCACAAAGAGGCTTGAGCCAATAGGCACTACATAACATTAAGAATAGATATGGCATGATAGTAACAATGAATAATAAAATAAAAACAAGTAATTTACAGATAACCTCACATGATTAATAATTCAAGTACTTCATATCATCTATTGCAATAAACTCATGCATATGTACAACATATATGATCCATATAGAATGTGTATATTTTTTATTTGTTTTACTTTATATTAGAATTGTTTATTTCCTTAAGCCTGTAGCTCATTCAATGTTAAACTATAATTTCAATAAAAGGAAAAGTACACAGTAAGAATTAGGTATCTAATTTTGGATGATAAAGTCACACTATTTTCACTCGTTTGATTCTAATGAATAAATAAGAATAAATGTAGTGAGAATATTGTTTGTTCATATTTTCTGCTCTGTTACAACTCATTGTTGCCTAGAAGGGGGGCCGAAAATAGACATGCATCTTCCTCCTACAATAACCCTGGAACTAGATCATAAAATCCTTGTAAAATTAGAGCAAAATCTTTGAATAGTGTCTTATTTGAAACTTAATTTGCCTTCTAAAAATTTGACTCCGAAAATACAAAAACTCTCTCAGCAGTACTGAGAAGAGAATATTTTAACCCAACAGTAATTAACCATTTTACAATTTTCGAGACTAGCAACAACCTAAACTTATTTAAAATGGAATATTTAGATATGATAATGCAAACAAAAGTTTTCATTTCTAAACCTAACATACAACATTAAATTAAGAATCAATTCAATAAACTCAAGTGGTATGAATCTAAATTAAATCCATAATATCCATTGAAAGTACACCAAAAAACTATACTGTACATATCCCATGTCAATCTTACATTCCTCTTTCCGGCTCTTTGGGTGTTTTATGATAAATCAATAAATTAACTATATTGGTAAACTTTGTATGTATATGTAAATATATAATCTTCGTTTATACACAGATACAATTGTTGAATTTATATAAAAAGGTAAGCAAACATCTAGAGTGTAAAACTTAATAATGTGAATGTTACTAATGAAGTTTAATGAAGCCAGCACAGATCACATAAAATATTAAATAAATCATACCTTACAAATAGGCCGATGTGGATCCCTCATGTTCACCAATAAATTTTCACACTTCAGATCAAAATGAACAATATTCTTTTCATGCAAATATTCCATACCAAATGCAACATCCATGGCTATGATTAGTCTTTTACGCCGATCAATGGTTCTGCTCGAAGAGATAATTCATAATTAGAGTACTTTTACAGACTACAAGCTATCCCTACTGTGAACAATTGAACAAAAATATTTCCGGAGAATCTACATGGTGAAATCAAACAACAGCAGAAAATTTAAATATGAACAAGATCTTTCATGCAATACAACCAAAAGGATACCTGTCTTTCTTTTGAAGAAACTGTTTAAGAGAGCCATTGACCATGAACTCTGTAACTGTAGCTAGACTTCCATCAGGACCATCACGAACCACACCATAAAATGATACAACATTAGGATGATGTAGTGAGCTGAGTATCAAAGCTTCCTTCCAGAAGTCAGCAATCTGCAAAATCAGCATAAAAAATAAGCACATTATGAAATAAGTCTACTATACTGCTCTTCCTGTTCAAGTTAATAAAAACTAAAATGAATATTGAAAAGCAATTCTAGAAGACTTAATCCCTTAGCCTCATTTATTTAACTCTGTTGCCTCGGCCAACATGATTATAGGCAGTCTCAGAAAAATGAAGCCTCATGAGTTCCATAAGATTGCATTACATTATTTATATACCTAGTGTATCTTCCCTTCCCAGCTCTTAGATGCTTATTGGCCCCTTTTCACGATTGTACATGCATATTACTACTACAACACCTTCAGGTTGAACAGAATAAATAAATTATCCTAAACAAAATTGGATTCTAATCCGTAATCAAAGATTGTCTTTTTTTTTTATTGCAAGGTCATGTTAATAGATTCAAGGAACCTTGTCATTCTTTCCTTATTTTCTCTGCTATGATTTTCAACTGAACATATTGACAATTTTTACTGTGGTTGTAGGGCGGCCTGAAATAATATGCTGCATATATGTAATACCATGACTACATAAAAAAATATATATATACCTTTTATAGTTAGCCAAATATCACATTTTGATACAGCAACATCCGAAACCAATCCAAACAAAATACATATCCATATCTTTGGTCTTCAAACAGTAGGGTTATATTATCCTATTCTTTCATGTGAAAACCCGGTGATGACTCAGTCTATTATCAGGTCTTAAAAGCCCTATTGATGGTTCGATATATCATCTACTCAGTGAGCCCTGTGAATAGATTTTATGATATCAGGTATAATGAGTTCCAAGCCGCAATGCAAATAACATTGGTTCTTGTTAGATCCATCAGATATAATATGTTGTGTATATTGAACACTATATCGTGTAGAAATAAATAACTACATAGATTTGGACATTGAACTATCAGATTTGAAGCATCCAATCAAAAACTATCCAGCCATTCCACTACTAAATATTCATCTTATAACTTCTATATTAATCTGGATTGACAAATCAAGAAACAATCGTGAACTTCTACATGATCATGGTGCCCCGGATGAGAAACATAAAGCATCTGATTTGGGTGCAATCAACTTTCAAACAAATCTAGTCATTTGATTTCATAAACCTGAATTTGATCATTGTAATGATAGTATCAGTTTGCCTGATTTAATTAATCCTAAATTTGTTTTCCAAAAATTATATCACCATCATCAACAACATCAATATTAATGCCAAATTTGTTTGTCACAAATTATATCATCATCATAAACAACATCATCAACGCTATCCATGTTATAAATAGTTAGCTATATTATATGAATCATCCTCCTCTCACGATTCCCATTGAGTATTACTTGAGGTGCAAACTCTATGGTGTGCAAACGCTATAGCCATCTAACCTTTATCAGAGCGAAGAGTAACACCAGTAGAAATAAGATTGCAATACATATTTAAGTGATCTGAGTAATGTGCGAGGGAGGCCATAAGATTTACGAAGTCACCAATAGATTGGGCGAGTACCTACAGCATGAGGCTTCCCATTAATGCAGACTGTGGGGAGGGCTAATCTAAGAGCATATATTGCAAATATGTTATTACCAATATGCCTGTGAACTTATGTCACATGCGGAGGAACCGATGCAAGCAGCCTTAAACTTACATTGTAAAGATGTTATTTCAAATATTCGAACTCATGAAATTCATCTAAAGATGGAAACAAACTAAACTCTGCTCCAGGCCGACCCTCTTGCAAATGCATAGACGCTGACATTAATGCATGCACTCAAAGATGCATGATGCATGCATCAGCACGAATGTCCAGCTGCGTAAACATTTGGAAGTATGCAAAGATATATCCATTAATTAAAAATACTAACACTGCTGACACTAAGCACGAGCATAATAGCACAATGAAGAACTATCTTGCATGTAACTAGTCCGAAAGCATATTGCCCACAGATTAAAGAATAATAAACTAATAAAAAAAATTTGATGATATAGAATTACATTATATGAACCTAAAAGCACTATTTAAATAAAAAACAAGCATATACATTATATTTGATGGAACAGAATAGTTTGAAATATTATAGTACATATACTCAACATATATTTAACCAACTAATCAAGAATATTGTTTAATTTCTAAGAAAGCCTTCAAAAGTAAATAAAATATGGTGAAAGCTAGTTTAAAAAATGAAATTAAATCATTTGAAAAAATTAACTTGAGCTTCAACAGGGGTGAAGATTCATAAGTGAATGACCGAATGTTTGAATTTATAAAAATATAACTTTTTTTCTTACATGGTTTGCATAATATTTAATTAAAAATAATACCCAGCGAATAATTATTTTGGTATAAGCCTTTAAAAATAAATGAGAGGTTCATTATTATGGTAATTCTAGGGAAATCAAACAAGTCATACAATAAAATTTTAGTTGTGGTAATCTGGACATCGGCTCAGAAAAATCATAACGCTATTGGAGAAACAAATTTATTTTATGGCAAAAAAGATCTACAATATGGGTGATATATTTAAAGTCAATTAATGGAGAAATTTAGAGAATAATGAAAGAACTTTCATATGACATTTATTGATTATAAAAAAGCATATATAATCAAATACTTTGAGAGTTGGATTGGTGGGGCAATAGAGAGAAACAATATAACAATATAAGACAGATACGATAAACTTGTTTAAGATATGTATAATGCAACTGTGGACTTACCGAAAAGATGTCCAATCATAATAGACTTACACCTAAATTTGGTATTTAGCCCATATTTCTTTTATTAGTCATACGCATGCTTATAATACATGTTCAAATTAAGACAAATTGATGTATGCTATTTTTAGAAAACATCCTTTCACTTGTCTATGTTCAACGCTGCGCGCCTGATGATATATCTTTTGAAGTCAATTTAAATTTAAAACAATGAAGAGAAATTTAGATGGTAAAGTGATCTACAGATTAGTTGAAAAAAAAAATGATTGAAACTAAGAATTACGAGTTAATATTATTGAAAGACCACATGATTATTGAGGTGTGATAAGAATATGGGATCCGTTGGATTTATTATACAAAAATATTAGATGTAGATGATTTCAACTTCAGAGTTAAAGTCAAGTGGCAAACTTAAAAGACGTACCTCATGCAAAGTATGTGATAAAAAATATCATAAAGCCTTTAAATTTTTTATAAAACAATAAATAGACGAGCTATATTATAAAGCTTAGGGTGTTATTGATAAAGAAGACACTAATATTAATGTTGACTATGGAAGAAAAAAGAAATATTAAGATGAATATATGATAAAATTAAAAAGCATCAAGTGAGAAATTACAATATTAGAGTGGCGGTCGTAGCAACAATGGTTGAAGATAATATTCTAAAAAAAATAAACTTATCTAATTAATGGAAATTTACATATGAGGCCTGCAGGATCATCAAGATACTTTTGTGCTTATAAATATTATAATAAGAGGGAACATGATGCAGGACTATGATGCTTTTAAATGGATGCGATAAAAATTTGCACGATTTCTTGACAAAAACAATTAGGATTAAAACTATTAGCAATTTAAGCGACAAAATAAAATGAAAGAGGGGTGGCTACGCTTAGGCCAAGCCACATACCAAATACTTGGATTATCAAAACAAGTTAGAAGTTCAATAACATGCGAAGTAAATAGCTTTCACTAACAATAAGATAGCAACATAAAAGGCACGCTCAATCCTACATTTACTAAGCTTGGTAGAGATAGGTGAACAAGACCTTCATGAATCAAGTCAAACCACAAGAGAGAGTTAAACTAAGAAAATACAAGAGTAGGAAGATTGGACGACCTTTATCACGGTTTGGACGTAATCCACCACTGAACATCACCAAGTTGCTCCTCTATGGCTTCGATGAGGGTATCTAGAATGCACTCCACATATTCCTTGACGGTGTTGTCGATATTCGGATTGACGTCGAAGAAAGTGGAGTGAAGGATCTGAACAAAACCTTGCTCGTCGTAGGCAATGCCGTCATCAAGATCAGGATCGGCCATGCATCTATCTAATTGAGTTGAAGTGTTGTAGGAGGTGCTCCTTTGCTGTCCTTGCTGCTTCTCTTGCAAGAAAGGGGTTCTTTCTCAAGAATCCAAGTGGGAGATGGTAAGAGAAGGTGGTCGGCCAAGGGGGGAGGGCTAGGGGAATTTTGGTTCAGATTTTGGGAGATTTAAGTGGAGGGAAATTAATTCAAACACCTTCCCATTTGATCCCCTTGACTAAAATAATCAAAGGAGGAAGGTAGAGCGGGGCCGGCGGCAAGGGAGAGGGGAGGGCTTTAATTTAATTCCAAAAGGAGAGATTCTCCTTTGGCAAGAAATTAAACAAGTGGGGCTTAGGAGATTTTGACCAAGGAGGTGGATGGGAATTAGGAAAGGTTTCCAAGAGAGGGCTTAGAGGTTTTGGAAATAAATCCCAAAGGATTTATTAAGAGGGGGCCGGTGGCAAAGGGGGCTAGGGAGGGAATTAAGGAAGCTTTTAATGCTTCCTTAAATTAGGTAATGAGGTTTGGGATGAGATATTTCATTCCAAATTAAATTAAACTCAAATAGGAAAGGGTTTGAAAACTTTCCTAAAATAGGATTGATATTTTAGGAAACTTTTCAAATTCAAATAGATTTGAATTTCCAAAGCAATTGCATTACCTAAAATATTCAAACCCAATTAGGAAAGGGGTAATTGCAAATAACGATGCAGGGAAAACCAAGTGGGGGGCCGGCGGCTTGTGTGGTGACCGTGGATGGTGGTGGGGGCAAGGGAGGGTGGATCGGTTGGGGTGGTGATGGGATAAATCCGACCGGTGGTGGTGGGGGATTAGGTGGCCGGCGGCTTAGGGGTGTGGGGAGGTTTTATGCTGGCGGTTATGTTTGTCATTTTTAATATGATATTACATTAATATATATATACTATATAAAACAATGTATTGCCGTGTCCGCGCCGTACCCGTGTCTTATATTTTCAAAAAAAGCCGTGTCCCATGTCCGTGTCGTGTCTGTCCGTGTCGCCGTGTCCGTGTCTGTGCATCATAGTTGGTGGGTGATACAAACTCCCTCTCCTAGGGATCTCTCTTCAAACGCGCTCAAGATCTCACATAGAACTCAAGTAGTAGGAAAATTCTTATCATTCCATCATTATTTTGAAAAAGAGAACAAGAGGCCTATATATAGCCTCGTACTAAAGACTCAATAAAATAAAAAAGACGACGCACTCGGAGCTTACATACGACCTCCCTTAAGTAAGGGGTAAAAACAGAAATACTAATAAAACAAATACAACATAAAATAATAAAGAAAATACATAATACAACTTAGAAGTACATCGACTCAATCGTGGCTGTAGATCGACAGTCACGTCTCTGATAGACTTTCCACGTGCTGATGTCCCCATCAAAACGATTGGGCTAGTTTGTGCTCAACTTGAGTTTAATTTGAATCAATTTAAGTTGATTTAGTTTACATTAGCTTGACTCGACTCGTCTCAATAGTTTACATTAGCTTGACTCGACTCGTCTCAATTCGATTTAATTTAAAACTAATGAGATTAGATTTAAATTGCTTGAATCGATTTAAGTTTTACTCGAGTCGACCTGCCTTAATTTAATTTAATTTGTTTTGATTCAGCTTGATTTAACTCACCTCGTCTCAATTCCCAAAAAAATAAAATGATGATGATTATGAACTTTATTTGAAAAATGAGGCCAACACTAACCAAGTATCACAAGATGGAACTCCTCTGCAGCTAGGAATTAACTCGACTGGAATGACTCCAAAAGCTTGTGTGTCATCACCACCTTTGCCTTCTAATCAAACACCTGTCAGCATAGCGAGTCAACATCTTCACCTCTACCGCCTTGTGCGTACAGAGGAGGGACCCTTGCAATTCGGCATCGCCAAATTTAGAGATGTAGACTCTACCATTTTTTGTGTAATCTAAAGATCGAATGAACATCATTATGTGAATCTCAGATGAAACACTCTTCTCTTGGTCGGAATAAAATTAGGACTATAAATTCTTATTATTTCTCTCTTTTTTCGGTTAATAGGAATAATAACTATTTTTCTTATTCTTTCGTATGCAGTTTTTAATAGCTTCCATTCTATATGTTTAGGCCGACCATGAAGACGAGTTTTTTACTGAGTACGGTGAAGCAAGCCAGTATGAGATAATGGAGGTTATTGGAAGGGGAAGCTATGGTATAGTTGGGTCGGCAGTGGACACTAAAACTGGGGAGAAGGTCGCCATCAAGAAGATCAATGATGTCTTTGAGCATGTTTCAGATGCAACTCGAATTCTTAGAGAGATCAAGCTTCTCAGGCTGCTTCGGCATCCTGACATTGTAGAAATTAAGCACATAATGCTACCTCCATCTCGTAGGGAATTTAGAGATATTTATGTTGTTTTTGAGCTAATGGAATCAGATCTTCACCATGTTATAAGGGAAAATGATGACCTTACTCCTGAGCATCACCAATTTTTCCTGTATCAGCTTCTTCGTTCATTGAAGTACATCCATTCAGGTTAACATCACTGATTGGTTAATTGGTTTATAATCATCTGCTTTTGCTTTTATATGAGCTTGTAAGTCATGTACATCTCTTGTTTTTTCTTTTTCTCCAGCTAATGTATTTCATCGGGATTTGAAGCCCAAAAACATCCTTGCCAATTCAGACTGCAAGCTAAAAATCTGTGACTTTGGACTTGCTCGGGTGTCCTTTAATGACGCTCCATCGCCTATTTTTTGGACTGTATTGCATCATCTCTTCACTGAATATTCATTTATACTTAATACCTTTTTTCTCCATTGATTATTTTTTTTTTCTTTCATAGCTTATGTACTTCGTGTTTGCGTAAAGACAGGAGGATTTCAGAAAAAATTGCGTTATTAATTGGATGTTTCTTTTTCCCTTGATGCTGTAGGATTATGTGGCAACAAGATGGTATCGTGCACCAGAATTATGCGGTTCCTTTTTCTCCAAAGTAAGATACTTTAAAATTTAGTTTTAATTATGTGATTACTTTTAGTTATCTTCTGCTACTTCTTGAATGAGTTACTACTCTTCACGTCTATCCATTCCCTATAGAACACCTACCATGTAGTGATGTCCTCATTTGCTTGTGACCAGGCTCTAGGAAGAGTCTGTTAATCAAAATGTAATTTATATTTTGCTCACAATATCCATGAAGTGGTGTTGCAACCTACACATGTTAGTGGCTTGAAACACTGCTGCCCAAAGCAAGCCCAATGCATTTGTGGATGAACGCCAAAAAAAAAAAAAAGACACCCTTCAACCCAGAAACTTGACTTAATGAATTTTGGCCAATATTACAACAACAACAACATCAAGCCTTTATCCCACTACGTGGGATCGGCTACATGAATTCTTTTTCTCCATTGTATCCTATTAAAGGTCAAACTCTCGTTTAAATCTAATAAAGAAAGGTCATTCCTAATATTTTCTAACCAAGTCTTTTTAGGTCTGCCTCTACCTTTCTTAACATAAGTCAAATATAATACCTCTACTCTCCTAACCGGGTCATTGGAAGGCCGCCGTTTTATGTGACCAAACCATCTAAGGCGACTCTCTCTAATCTTATCTTCTACTGGAGCTACTCCAACCTTTTCACGTATATGCTCATTTCTTATCCTATCTCTAAGGATAAAGCCACTCATCCACCTGAACATCCTCATCTCTGCCACACTTAACTTCTTAGTATTATGCTTCTCTTTTAATGGCCAACATTCAACACCATAAAGCATTGCAGGCCTCACTACCATCTTATAGAATTTTCCCTTAAGTTTGAGGGGTACTTTTCTATCACACAATAAGCCCGATGCATTCCTCCACTTCAACCATCCAACTTGAATTATGTTGATAATATCCCCATCAATTTCACCATCACTCTGAACAATAGATCCAAGATATCTAAAACGTGTACTCTTATTAATGAGTTGATCGCCCAAAGTCACAAACCCCTTACTAGGTCTATTACTACTAAAATTACACTCCATATATTCCGTTTTAGATCTACTCCATATATTTCTGCCAATTATTATACTATAAATATTTCACATATTATTTGGAACCATTCTCCACTCTTGTGTTGATTTTAACAATTTCCTTCCACATCTACATTGGCTTTCAATGTCCATTGCGAAACGCTTGCATAATGTTTGCCAGCTGAGCACTCACCAAAACTTACTTTTCTCTTTTCTTCCTCTTTTGCTGCCACGTTATTGATCCATGGGATATCTACTGCCTACTTATAAATCCATGGACTATTATAATTATTTTGTAATCATTGTTTTGCTTACATAGCAATCCATTCACTTTTATAACTTTTTGTAATTATTATTTCCTAATTTTGTAAGAAAAGTAGATTGTTTAGAATGCAAAGATTTTAAAGTTATTCGGAGTAGAAATTTATGTATCCAATATCGTTTATTAGTTTTGGACTTTAAGATGAAAGGAAAAATATTAAAAATAAAGTAAAACGTTGTTCTAGGATTAGATTAGAGCATTTAAAGAATACTAACAATTTTTTTTTAAAGTAAGATTCTAGATATTAAGATTTTGTATGTGCATGAGGAAACTAATGTTATGAGAGAAAAAGTAGCTAGTAATATCAAGAATATTATAAAACATGTACTTGTAGTATCAAAGAGAAAAATGTTAGGCAAGATGATGAACCGGCTCAGGTATATGCCGCCTCCTTTACCTCTTGCCGCCACACTGGTGGGCCCCACTAGGAGCATTTTGATGAGAGAGGGTTGGGCTGCTAGGGTGAGAGGGAAAATTTGAATTAGGGATGTTTGAATTAGGGAATTAATGTATTAATAGTATGGCTTGTTTAAGGTTAGGGTTATGCATGCTTTGAGTGGTTCTCTTGAAGTTTTTCTTTAGCGTATTGGGCTCTAGATTCATCGTCTAGAGATTGGGAGGGATCGATCCTCCTCTCGAATTGAGGATCAATTGTATCTTGCTTTGGGTTTTCTTTTGCTTTGATTTTATTATTACAATCTATCCTTTTGGATTGATTTCATGAAGATTATCGCATTATTTCCACTGTTTTTATCAATTATTACTAGGGTTGCTTGCGAACTCAAGTATTTCCTCTTGGATTACTTGCGAACTCAAGTATGTCCTATCAAATTGATATCAGAGTATTTTCTTGGGACCATTGGCGCCTAAAATCCAGAAATTTCAGCAAAGAAATTTCATCCGCAAGATCTTCTCGTAAATCTTGGGAAGAAGGTCAAAGTTTTGGAAGGTGAAATTAGACAACTAAAATCAGATTTAGAAGAAAAATTCTCTGATTTTCAAAATCAGATTTCCTCCAAAAACGAACAGTTGGAAGGAAAGTTCATCTTGATGGAAGAGATGTTCAAGAAATTACTAGAGGTGAAGACCAATCTGCCGCCATTGGAAGCAATAGAGACCACCGGCGACCATTGGAGAGGAGGGAATCTGAACACGTTTAGGGGGAGGGAAAATCCAGAAGTGGAGATCCTTGAGGGAGAGGACGACATGTCACCTCTAGAATCACTTTCTAGGGATGAGATGACTATGGGTTACGAAAGGAGGGATGCTGATTTTGTGGGGAAAAGGGGAGATTTCTACCAATGAGGTGCTGATTTTGAAAAAAAAGAAGAGGGAAAGTTGATGAAGGGTATATTTATGATCGCCGGAGGGAAGATCGTGACAAATGGGGAGCACCTCCTATTCGTGAAATGGGAGGATATGGAGGATTCAGGGGCAATTGGGGTGACCCGAAGGTGAGGAAGCTGAAGATGCCCATCTTTGAGGGCGAGGATGGCCATGGTTGGATCTACAAGGTGGAACGATATTTCTACATCAACGGATTGACGGAGGAAGAGAAGTTGACAGCAGCAAAACTATGCTTGGAGGGGAAGGCACTAGCTTGGTACCAATGGCGGGACATGAGGCAATCCATCAGGAGCTGAAGGGAGTTTAAGGAGTGCTTACTGGAATGTTTTTGAATCGGTAAAGGAAGAGACTTCTATGAAAAAAATTTTGCTTTAACACAGGAGGGGACTGGTAGATTACTGTGACAAGTTTGAGTACTTGGCTAGCAGATTAAATCGGCTCTCGGAGACAGTGCTTGGGGGGGGACTTTATGAAAGGGCTTAAACAGGAGATATGCGCAGCGGTTAGAGTGACGAGGCCAAGATACCTGGGGGAGGTCATGGAGCTAGCCCAGTTGGTGGATGATCAGAAGCAGTTGGAGAGAGGGGCAAGGGGGAGAAACTCGGGGGGATCGTACAGTATGACCACCACCTTCTTGGCTCTCACGGGGGGTAGCACCAGGGAGGCTGAATGAAGTGCCAAGGGAGAGAAGTGGAGGAGGGGGAAATGGGGGAAGTTTCAAAAGGCTGACGAAGAAGGAAATACAAGAAAAAGGGTGAAGGGGTTGTGTTTTAGATGTGATGAGAAGTATATGCCTGGGTGTATGACCGAACTCTTTAGGTTTTCACCGTCTGTGATGACGAGGAAGCTGAGGGAGGTGGAAGCGGGTTAGAGATGGAAGAAGAGGAGAAGTTGCATCTAGATGTGATAGAAGTCTCCCTAAACTCAGTTTTTGGATTCACCCAAAATCACACTATGAAGTTGAAGGGGGAGATATTAGATAGGAAGGTGGTAATGTTGATAGATAGTGGGGAAACCTACAATTTTATCTCCATCCAGATTGCTGATCTACTGGGGGGAAACTAGTGGATATAGGAGGCTACAGTGTGATGATGGGCACGAGAAAGGTAGAAATGGGTAAAGGAGTTTGTAGGGGAGTGGTGTTGATCATTCAAGGGATACAGGTGAGGGAGGATTTTCTTCCCTTGGAATTGGGGAGTACGGATGTATCTTGGTGATGAAATGACTAGAAACCTTGGGGGAGACCAAGGTAAATTGGGGATCACTAAGGATGGAACTGGTGGTGGGGGAAGGAGAATGGTGATCCAGGGCGATGCAGGGTTGTCTAGGGCGGGTGTATATCTCAAATTCATGATCAGAACCATACAAGAGGTGGAAGATGGATATTTAATGGAATTGCAACGCTTGGAGAGGGCAATGTGAGAGAAGGGGGAGACATTCCTCTTGTAGTGCAACCAGTCATACAACAGTTCAGTGAGGTGTTCCAGCCACCTCAAGGGTTACCACCACTCTGAGAGTAGGAGTGTGCCATCCTTCTAAAGGAGGGGGTGTCATCGATTAGTGTACGACCCTACCGCTACCCCCAAATTTAGAAGGATGAAATTTAGAAGCTGATTAGGGAGATGTTGGAGGATGGGATCATCAGACCAAGTGTGAGTCCTTTCTCTAGTCCAATCTTACTGGTCAAAAAGAAAGATGGGAACTGGAGGTTTTGTATGGATTACAGGGCTTTTAATAAGGAGTCTGTACCGAATAAATTCTCCATTCCTGTGATTGACGAGCTCTTGGATGAACTATATGGAGCAGTGATATTCTTCAAACTGGATATGAAGTCTGGATATCATCAGATCCGAATGAGGGAGGAAGATATCTCAAAGACAGCTTTTAGGACACATGAGGGGTATTATGAGTTTATGGTTATGCCATGTAGGGTAACCAACGCCCCTGCTACTTTCCAGCCATTGATGAACGGGGTGTTCAGACAGTACCTCTGGAAGTTTTGTCTGGTGCTTTTTGATGACATCTTGGTGTACAATAAAATTGAGGAGGAGAATCTGAAACACTTAAAGTTGATCTTGGGAGTTCTACAGGAACATCTGCTAAGGGCCAACCTGAAGAAGTGTTGCTTTGCCCAAACCAGTGTAGAGTACTTGGTTCATATCGTGTCCAAGGAAGGGGTGGCATTCGATCAGTTAAAGGTGGAGGCTATATTGAGATGGCCCTTACCTAAGAATCTGAAGGAGTTGAGAGGATTCTTAGGGCTGACGGGGTACTACAGGAGATTTGTAAAAGGGTACAGTACTATCGCTTGGCCACTGATAGAGCAGCTATAGAAAGATGGATTCTTATGGGGAGAGGCAACCACAACAGCATTTGAGAAACTAAAGAAGGCTATGAC